TTCCATGTGGGCTTTGTTGCTTCTGAGCTAGATGGCCGCTTGCTTACCTTCAAGCTTTTAAGACCCCAGACGCTATATCTTTTGATAGCCGGGCACCATCAGGTTTCTTCACAGGTTGCTGAAATTTAATAAATTACTTTCAGCATCTATTGATAGGATCGTATAAATTTTCCTGCTGATGTCATAAATTACGTTGATAGATTGATTTCTTATTCAACCAGCGTTGTGCGCCTAGAATCAACCCTACCGGGTCCTAGTGTAACTCACTGGTGCCTTCTCCCTGATTGTTTCTTTAGATTTTACATTCAGATTTAGACATTTATATGGTCTCTAGTTTCATAAAGGAGGCTTGGTGGCATCGTGGTTACGCCATCAGGCATTAATGGAAAGATCTGGATTTGGAATAAATGTTGGGCAAACACTGGACTGCTGACTGCAAGGTTGGCAGTTCAAACTCACCAGCGGCTTTGTGGGAGAAAGTGGAGGCTACCAGGGCATCTGGTGGAACAGGAAAAGACTTAGCAGGCTGTTTCTCTGTGGATTCCTGCTCACAGCACTCCTATGCAGGGTTTCTGAGATTGTCAAGCTATGGGACCAGTCTCACTTTCCTCCCGAGAGGCAGCTACTGGGTTTGAACCACTCCCCTTGCTGTCAGCAGTCCAACGCCTGACTCCAGGCCACCAGGGTCCTTTTCCGTCAAGACTGGGATCACTGTGAGAAGGAACTCGGGCAATAGTTTAAACAAAAGGGGCGGGTGCTAAAATAGATACATATCCTCATGAGGCTTTCATATTAACGAGGTCAGCATAATTTTAGGTTTTTTATACATTGGTGGGCTTTGTTGTTTATCTTTAACCTTTCTCCTTTTTAAATATATCTCATTAAAAAGTCTCTTTGGGGGGATTTACTCGTTCAGCCAAGTTTGCTTTCTGTGTCAATCACTGAAGTTTGTAGCTTTAACTTGACGAAATCCTAGGCTCCCTTTCTCTTATTTAAAAAAGTTTTTTTCCCTTCTCTTATTTTTAAGATAATGAAAAAGCCCTTAAGCCACACATTTTTTTTCTCCAAAGTACAATAAGTATAGTTTTTTGCTGAAATCAGAAAGGACCAAAAAAATGTGACTTAAGGTGACCGGTTGTAAGTCTGGATTTTAAATTAGGACATTGGGCGAGATGATTCCCAAAGTCACGGGTAGGGCTTTGGCTCCAGAACAGCGGTTCTCAGCCTTCCTGATGCTGAGACCCTTCCATACAGCTCCTCATGCTGTGGTGAGCCCTCCAACCTTAAAATCATTTTCGTTGCTACTTCATCCCTGTCATTTTGCTACTGTGATGAATCGGATGACCCCTGTGAAAGGGTCGTTCAACACCCAAAGGGGTCACGACCCACAGGTTAAGAACCCCTGCTCTAGAAGCTTGAGGTCAGGGATCAATCTGGCATAAAGCCTAGCCGAGTCAGGGGCCAGTGTCTACCCCACTAGATGGGAGTGAGCGAGGGGAACCGGAGAGGCTAAGTACACGCTGAAGATGCCATAGCCCATAGCAGCGCTGGGACCAAACCTAGCTTTATCATTTTCAGTCCACCAAGAGGTGCACCACACTAAACCTTTCTGGGTATAGTAGGAATGAAGAGAGAGCATGGGGCTTCATCTAGGGCGATGGTGAGGGTCAGGGAGTGCTGGCACCAGCCAAGAAGAGAACTCCAAGGGGATCCATCTCCAAAAGTCCCAGGGAGGGACTATTGGAAGAGCTTTGATTTGCGAAGATGTTGGGTGGGTGCGGAGATGGCTTAGTTAATAGTCCCTGAAGAAGCGATTCTAGGTCTCTAGGAGGAGAATGTTTGACGCTCCCTAGCAAGAGACCAAAAAGGCAGTGCTGGGGCCAGGGAGGATGGTGGCTTCCCTGCCCTGAGATCACTAGGGAGCTTCCACTGGCGTTTCATCTTGGCGGATGGACTGGACAGTGACCTCAGAATCCCCACCTGGACCTTCACATTCCCACCTCCCATCCAGAGGAGGAGGCAGGGGGGGCCTTGTCCCCAGTCTGACCAGTGCACCAAGCACTGGCTGGCTCAGGCAGCTGTGGGTGATAGGGAGAACTTGCCCCAGCCCCCCTCCCTGGGAGCTGGCAGCTCTGAAGAGGAAGATTGGGTGGGGGTGTGCTTTAGTCCCCAACCCCAACTCTCCTCCCTACCCTAAGAAGCCCTTTGAAAGGTTTTTCTGGCAGTGTTTAAAGCTTCGATTCATTCAACCACCTGGCACAAGGCCCAGGATGAGAGGGTGCCGGGAAGGCTCCAGTCCCACCTCCCAACCCTCACCTTAGCTGCCCCCACTTCCCTGGCAAGCCTCCCACTTCATCTAATAGCACCCACCCCCTTTCTTTTTGGGATCCCAGGTACCCGGGCCCTCTCCTATGGAGCAGATGGCCCACCCCAGAAGCTCAGGCTTGCTAAGTCACTTAAACCCCATAATCCTCGGTGAGAGGGGGCAGTAGCCCAACCCTAGCAGCAGGGGCGGGGGAGAACCTCATGCCAGCCCTGGCAAAGGGGAGACACTTGGTTCCAGAGTTATGAATGGAGTCACCCCCCTCCCTGGTTGTCATGCAGCCCGCAAACTGACCCAGTCCCCAGCCTTTGTTCCCCTCCTGGAACCCCAGGGCTGGGCCCCCAAGCCCACACTCCTGGGGGGTGGGGGAGGCTCAGGGGCGGCCTCCCAACTTCATCTCCTCACTCACTCCTGTACCTGCGGGCCAAGCTTGGTTCCCATCGCTCAGGCACACAAGTGGCAGTTTTATTGTAAAATAAGAATTGGATATAAAAATGGGGTATACAAAGTGGGGGAGGGGAGGGGTCACAGGGGAAGGACAGGCAGATGTGCCCTTGCACAGTGCGGAGACCCTGAGCATCAAGGGGCAGTGACACAGATGGTGTTGGACACAGATCCAGTGTTGGCGCTGGACTCCTCCAGGGCCTGGGAGGGGGTGAGATGTGAGATTCCCTGCTGGCGCTGAGCCTTACCAAGAGTCCGGACAGGACTTGGCTTGGCCAGCAGAAAAGGGATAAGCCAACTCCCTTCCCTTAACCAGCTGCCCAATCGGCCTGTCAACCAGCAGGGATAGGGGCCCAGCGCCCCTAAGGGAAAGACCCAGAGGCCACATCACCATAACCCCTGAGGGTTCGAAGGCCAGGCAGCTGGGGCCCTTGTGGTTATTGGTTCAGCCTTCTGTTTCCCTGGAACAGGGGCAAGCCCAGGAGGTAGGGATCGGTGTGAGGTAGGGACCAGTGTTCCCCGGGAGAAGGCGCATTCCACATCCTTCATTGAGTGCTGGTGATGTGGGCCTTCCGATGAACGTATAGCTGGTTGGAAAAGCTAACTCTCACAAGCACGACCATATTCCTATCGCTCCCAAGGGTTCTTTGTAAGAGCTGAACTCAGGAGTGTGCCAGCGGCCCTCACCCTCAAAATGCAAGCAAGCAAGCAAGCAAACAAAAAACCCCGCCGGTGCAGTCCAACTTCTTAGGGGAGGAGACCAAGAGTTCCTGGGTGATTCGGAGGTACACCAGTGCCAAGCAGGGTTCAAGCACCTCAGTTTCAAAAGGCTAGAAGAGGAGGGCAAAGGTGTGGGGGGCAGGGTTGTATACATGGGCGACCGGACACAGTGGTGTCAGTCTGAGTCAGGCCCCTCTTTCTTGAAGGTGGTCTTTTTGTGGCGGGAGGTAGATGGTCTCTTCTTAGCCTTCAGGGGGCTGTGGAGGAAAGAGGGGTAAGAGAGCACATATGCGGGAGAGTCAGAAGCCTGACCCTGGTGCAAGAGGAATTTTGGCTGAAATTGTAACTGCACCCACGAGCCAGGTTTACTGAGAACCTCAGGGTACTTGTGCCTACTAATCTCTTAATCTTCACTCAGCTCATTTTACCAATGAAAGAGGCCTAGGAACCCGGGCACAGAGGACTTGCTAGGATGCACCCATCGCCCTTGGGCTTGAGGCAGGGAGGTGACTGTACAAGGCAAAGTGGTGGGAGATTCTAAAGGGACGAGTGTGAGGACCCCCTGGAGGGGATCCGCTGCTTTAACCATAGAAGTAGAATTGGAAACAATTCCGTGGCTTTCTATGTGGCCGGAAGGGAGCCCAGGTCACTCACCTGGAGTGAGCCTGGCTCCCCTCTGGCTCCTTCCCAGCCTGGGCATCTCTCAGCTCCAATGCCTCATTCAGCTCCCAGAACATCTTGAAGCGTTCACGGCCACGAATCTGCAGTGGGAGGGGGGGGACAGAGAAGCACTGGCTGTGGGATAAAGAACCCAAATTTGGCCTTTTGTCTCTGGTTTCTGAAAATAGACCTCGGAATTCCCCGGCAATCGAGGTACCTTTTGTTTTCTCAAATAACCAGGCAACACTTTTAAAAAATGTGCACATAATTGGGGAGTCCCCAACCCTACCCTGGCAACAGACCTCAGAAAAGAAGGGTGCAAAGAGTCAATCATGCATATTCATAGTATCATGCATATGTATTAGGTCCCAGTGGGGAAGGGATTCTGAACCTGGGGGCTTCCAGAAACTGCAAAGGACTTTTCAGCACAGAAGAGCCTGGTACATCCCTAGGGACAGATGGAAGTCTCGTGCAGGGAATTCTTCCTTTATCCCTCTGGTTACCAACAATGGGTAATTGTGAGTTGAGGCAATAACTAAGCCCAAGCCCACTGCCAGGGAGTCGATTCCAATGCCTAGGGACAATGTAGGAGTGCTGGGATTGCGAACCCTTAGGGGGAGCAGGCAATCTCACCTCTCTTTTTCAGAGTGGCTGGTGGGTTTGAACCAGGGGCCTTGAGGCTAGCAGCCTAACCCACAAGGCCACCAGGGATCCCTGACTGAGCTCCGAGGGGCCCGATTCAGAGCAAGGCTACGAGGGCAACCGATTAAGGACAAAGTCCCTTTAGCTTCTCGAGTTTGAAGGGCCAGGAGTTATACGGACTCCTGAGTTTAGGGTGCTTTATGACCGGATCCCTGGGTGGCTGCCGATGAAGTCTAACTGAACTTTGGATGGCTAAGGTCAGAGGGAGGGAGTGCTTCAATTGGGCTGGTGGCAAGGAAGTGATCAATGGGGTGAGGTAGGGTGAGGTGTTCTGCCCACCTGAACCCTTCCGAAGCACAGTGGGAATCACCTTAATGTTCTCTCTTAGGCCATTTGTACTATGAATCACCTTAATGTTCTCTCTTAGGCCATTTGTACTATGGTCACAAGCAGATTCTAAAGTCGTGGCGCACATCACGGCCTCTGAGCCACTCCTGCCTGGATGGTGAGCGTCCTAATTGCTAGCAAAACAGCCAAGAAGAAAAGAGTACCTTCAATATCAGACGTGAAGCTTGAATCTGTTCAACCTGATACACGAGGGCAAGTTAAAAGCATTGCTACAAAGTCGTGGAAGCCTTTATTACACAAAACCATTACAATACGAAGCTGTTTCTCGGCTTATCTCCTATCCAGGTCTATATACTTCTGAAGGAGGTCTTTCCATCTCTTTCTCTAAAGAATGATGTATCTGTGATTTACCTTACATCCTCAAGGGGCTAAAACCGTGTTCCTTCTCACTGTTCTTTGAGTTTGGGCGACAAAATGAAGCCAGAAAGGGGTGAGGTCAGGGCTGGAGAGTGGACAGAGGAAAGTTTCCCAACAAAGTTCTTGAGGACAGCCTTTGCTCCCCTCGAAAAATGAGAGGGTGTGTGGCTGTGATGGAAACACAACAAAACATCCCGTGGCGCAACCTTCCTGGCCTTCCCAGTGGGGTTTTCCACTTTCTTACAACTGCTCCGTGAGAAGCCCCCGGATGGCCTCACGTCCTTCAGGAAAACCTCTCAAGATCCCCATTTCCAAACCCCGAGAACAGTGACCTGAGCTGACCTCTCTACCTGGACTCTGAGAGGACCATCCATTTTGATTAGACATCTTTATTTCAAAGGTACCATGATGAGTCTAAGACAAGTAAACTCCGGAGAGAACTGATGGATCGCTGTCCACTGATTGCATGGTCACGTTGACGCGCATTTTGTTTGGAATAAGCCCATGCGCGTGTGGACTTGAACCACGGTCAAGAATAGAGGAAAGGAAGAGAAGTCGGGTCTTAGGAAGAAAAGACAAAAGCAAACCTCACAGCCCCTGTGCTTATACCTTGTCTTGCCTTATCCAATCCCACTGAGAGCAGGGAAGAGACCGAGTATCCACCTCCCCTGAACCTGGTACCTGAAGGGTGTAATATTCTTCATCCAGTGGCTTCTTCTTTGGTTGGGTGGAGGAACCGGTGCTGGTGGGCAGTGCTGCGGAGAGAGGCAGGGGCAGGTGAGGAGGGGACTGGGAGGACTGCGGGCAGAACTGTACCCTCTATGCCTCTGCCACCCCCCTCTGTCCGGCTGCTTACCTCGCTTAGTGCTCTGCGGGGGTGGCCTGGGGCAAGGCTCATCATTCTTGTGGAAGTTTTCTTCCTCAGTGCGCCTGTCTCTCCCAGGACACGCACAAATCCGCACCTCAAAGCTGTTACGCCCCAGCAGATTGCCACTATCCAGGGAGAGAGGAGGGAAGCCAGACTCCATCGGCCCTGCTCCTCCCTGTCAACCAAGACCTCCCCAGTCCCAGCTCCCCGCTCACCCTGGCTGAGATCTAGCTCCAGCCCCAGACATTCTGAGACCTCAAGGAAAAGACCCGTGGGGGGGAGCTGTGGTGGAGTTCCCTGGGATGGGATGGGTGGCAGGGAGCAGTCGGGAGCCGTGAGCAGTGAGGGACGGCCTTAGGGGACAGAATCAGGCAGGCAAAAGGCTGGGGAGGCGTGTGCCAGCGGGAAGGCTGGCCTGTGGGTCCCTACCTGGTATCTTCCAGGGAGATGATGGTGAGGATGGGTCGCCGGTTCATGCCCCCCATGCAGGAGCTGTTACACATGAAGTTGTAGTGGATGGTGGTACAGTCGGCGCCGACCTGGGAGATGGCAGGTTCAAGGTGAGGCTACCCCGGCCCCGGGGGAACTCTTTCACTTCTGTAAGCCTCGATGCCCTCATTGCAGAATGGGGACAACCCGCCTTCTCGGCATAACTCTTAAGGGGGTGGGGGCGGGACACTTAACAGGCCTCCCTCCCCACTCGATGGCCAGTATCACCCCCTTCCACGACCTCTTCCCCAGGAGCCCCACAACCACAGCAGACCTCGGGGGGCTCATAGGGCACCACAACACTGTGTCGCAGGGTCACGTTGTCCTCCAGGTACTCAGCGCGCTGGTTTCCTTCCACCCGGATGAGGTGCTGAGGAGGAGCCAGGGCTAAAGAGCAATGGGGAGACATTAGGGGTTTAGGGACTTGGGGCAGCTGGTCCCGTCCCGTCTCCAGTGCCTGACCCCTCACCATCGATATAGTCAGAGCAACGCTCGTGGTGCGGACAACGCTTCACAACCTCTGTCATGTGCTCGGACTTCTTGTAGATGGCCATGGTGCGCACACGGGTGCCAGGCGGGGGCGGAGACGTGACCCACAACTGCACCGGGCAGGTCTTTGCCAGCTGACAAAACAGCTTGTTCAGGTCGGGGGAGTACTGTGGGGAAGGGAGGGGCTGCAGGTTAGGAGCACCATCCAGGGGCCAAATGGACCAGCACCCTACAGAAGCACCTCCTGACAACCAGGCACCGAGTTGGGGGATGGCTCCTGACAGGGGGGGAGGGGGGTCTACACCTCGGCAGCTACTAGTCCCAAGCCAGGGAATGAATGGGAGGGAAGAAAAAGGAGGTCTCATGTCCCCCTGAGACCAACCCACAGACATTGAGAGTAGGCACAAAAGGAGCAGAGTAGGGGGTGGAGGGGCTCAACTTGGGGAGAAGTCGGGGTGTGGGGGGTATTTCAGACTAGATGGATGAAATCTAGACAAACTGGCAGGAAGTTAGGGCTGGAAAGGAAGCCTCAAAGCTCAGGGGGACGCCAGCCCGGTGGGCAACAGGCCAGTCCAAGACAGGCCCTCAGAGCCACCTACCGTGCAGGTGACAGACTTGGCAGTCCCGGAATTCAGGAAGCCCAGGGTGAAGCCATAGGTGCCCGGGTAGGTCTTCTGAGAAGGCACGGAAGACGACAGGGTCCAGGAGGGGGCAGGTGTGGGGGGCGCTGACATCCCTTGAGTGCCTCCCTGGTTTTGTAACCAGTTTGACAAGACGTCCTGCAGTGGCAGACTGTCCACCCCCTCAGCTTCGGAAGGTATCGAGGCAGACTGCGGTTGGCAGAAAGGAGGGCTGGCTTGCAGTGGCCGGGCTGCCCGTCCCCCACCCCTGCAGCCCCGGTGCCCTCCCTGCCCCTGTCCTTACCAGCACGGAGTCCTCGGGAAGGCTGAAAGACAAGGGTAGAAAATTAATCCTGGTTTCCGACCCGTGATGGCACCTCGCCCATCCACAGGTCTCTGCTAGCAAGCAGGGAAGGGGGGGGGGGGCGGGTAGGGTGGGGGTTAGGGTTAGGGTTAGGGTTAGGGTTAGGGTTAGGGTTAGGGTTAGGGTTGGGGGAGGGGGGGGGGGGGCGGGGAGGGGGGGGGTGAGGGCAACACTTGGAGACTGGGCAGTGAATCCGGCCTGCCCACCAGGCCTTTACTTACAGTTCCCACAGGTATGAAAATGTCTCTTGACTCAACGGGAGGTCGGTGTTCATATCTGACTGGGAATCCTCCATGGCTCCTCCCAGGAGAGCAGTCTGGCCACTGTGGGGGGGAAGGGAGGGGCGGCATCACACGCTAAGCCCAGGTCCCTTCCCAGGGAGGGATCCCCCTCCACCCGACAACGTCCAGATCGCTAGCACAGCTGGAGGATCTGCTACGACTGGGTCCCCTCCCAACTTCCTGGGGAGCAAGACTGCGCTCTCAAAACACCTCCTCTCTCCCCAAATCTTTCACAAGTCAGGCTGCCCCTGCCCACCCAACTCCCCAACCTGTGACGCCCAGCACACCCTGCTTTGAGGGAAATCCAGAGGGACTGCCGATCTCCATACTGCCTAACTCATAACCCTGCAGAGCACACGCTCTCCCTCCAGCCACCTTCCTGGGGAAAAAGATGAGGCAGCCGCTGCCCAGGAGTGTCTGGGTGGTGTAAGGTTCAGGAGCTCAGCTGCTAAAAGAGGAAGGTTCCCCCCAACTACCAGGACCCCAATTTTGCCTTGCAGACCTGGTTAGACCAGATGATGCACAGCGGTACAGATGGGAATTGGAAACGCAGGGAATCTAGGACAGATGAACCCCTCAGGACCAGGGGTGACAGTGGCGATACCAGGAGAGAAAGGGGATGTAGTAAGGGGGAATGGATCACAGGGAGCTACATATAACCTCCTCTCTGGGGGACGGGCAGCAGAAGGGTGGGTGAAGGGAGACGCCGGACAGTGTAATATAAGATACAATAATAATTTATAAATTATTAAGGGTGCATGGGAGAGAGGGGAGGAGGAAGGGAAGGGGGGGAAAAAGGAAAATGAGCGGATTCCGGGAACCCAAGAGGCAAGCGAATTATGGGAATAATGAGGGCAACAAATGTATAGATGTGCTTTACACAATTGATCTATGTATTGTGATGAATTGTATGAGCCCCAATAAATTGATTAAAAAATATATATAAATATAAAAATTTTAAAAAAAGAGGAAGGTTAGAGCTCTGAGCCCACCCAGGGGGACGGGACCTCGGAAGAAAGGCCTGGTGATCTACTTCTGTAAAAACAAACATACAAAAAACCACCCCCCCAGCCAAGATGAGAACACCATTCTACTCTGACACAAAGGGCCACCATGAGTTGAAATCTATTCCGTGGCAACTGGGGGTAGTGCTATGCTGGTCTGAGGTTTTCTCTTAGGTACTGAAAAGAGCTTGTAAAATCCTTTTACAAGATTAGCTAATTTGTCCTGATAGCCACACTTGTCACCAGGGTGAAAAGGTAAATCCCTGGGGAGGGTTAAGTGACTTTACCAAAGGTAGACAGGGGGAGGTGAGCAGATGACTTGCTTGCTTGTGTGTTTGTTTTTCGTTTTAAGGAAAAACAGGATCCGTCAAACATCTGAGTAAGGTGTTCATTGCTCTTTGGGGTTCTCTTTCTTCTGTAATCTATTCAGGCCTGAGGTTTGGACCTTCGTTGATACGTCTTCAAACAGAAAGGTTTTCGGCAAAGGGCCAGCTGTCACAGCCTTCCAACTGCTGCTGTGGAGGGCAGGGAGGGGGAGTGGACCTGACCCGTGCACGGAGGGGGAGCAGGGGGACGCAGGAAGAGAAACCCCAAGCATTTGTCTGGGTAAGCAAATCCAGGGTCCCTCTAGATCAGTGTTTCCCAGTGGGGCGCTGAGTAGTTCCGCCCCCCAAAAAGGGGGTGGGTAGGCCAAATACGTCTGGGGGCCTATGCTCTTGATCGATGACACCCCTCACGGAAAAGGGAGACCTTCCTGGGAGGGAGCAGGGGAGTGTGGAGGGAGAGACGAGGAAGGGCAGAGGCCTCTGTCTTTGTGCCTCCTTTACATTTGTGGTAAGACTTTGGACAACCCACCTTACATCTCTGGGCTAGTGGATGCCTCCTCTGTAAAATGGGAACAAACACAATAACCACAGAGAGGAATAGCTTCCTTGCTTCCTCGTGCACAGAATTAAAGGTGTCCCGGTGGCGTACTGGGTTACACCTTGGGCTGCTAACGACAAGGTGAGCAGTTTGAGAACACTAGCTGCTCCTTGGGAGAAAGATGAGGCTCTCTAAGCTCATAAAGACTTATCGAGGGGCCTAAAACCCATCTGCAGATGATCGAATCAGAATAAGCTATTGGCAGATTCCCACTAGCCACAGGAAAGAGTCTTGAACAGCTTCAGTATCAGCTAGGGATCATTGTCATTGTGATGATACTGGATGGAACTTGATACTTGGTCAGTTGATCTCCCTCTTGACCCAACCTGAAATTCTTCTAGGTGCAAATGTTTCTTGTTAGTTCTACGGCAAAATTTCTTCCCTGGCCTTTAAAATATCCACAGTGGTCTTTTCTTTATATCTATACATATATGGATAGGTGTATACAGCGAGAAAGAATACAATAGCTAATTAGTTCACACAGCAGTACAGAGGGCTTTAGTCCAACTCACTTTAAAAACAATGTTTTTTTTTTAGTCTTTTCTTTCTTACTATTTGTACTTAAATTTTTTATTACTATTTGTATTTTTAGCTTTGTATTATTATTATTTTATCCTTACCCCTTTATCTTGTTTCTGTTGGGTTTTCCAGTTTGTGAAGCACAGGAGTAGATAGATGCACGGGGCTGAGAAGTGATGAAACCATTTATAAGGGAGATGGGGGGGCAAACAATGTATATGTGGGAGGTGGTACCTACCAGAACTGATGGCGATCACACAACTCATGTTAAAAGGGACTTAA